GCAGCGCTATAGCACATATCACGTGGGCCCATCTGCACACACACACAAATTAATACATTACAATGATTAAGATCCACGGACAATGTATTTATCAGAGCCCTAGAGATTAGGGAATAAATATGTAAGTGGGAGGAGATAAAATCAGAGAAAAAGTCTCACTTGTTGTTTAGAGTTTTCTTCAGAGCTCCACCTCTGAGGTTACAGAGACAGCATTCCTGAGAGAGCATGGAGATCTGTGAGTTGTATGCAAGAAACACACCTGAAATTAACAAATGCATTGTTCTGCTACAGTGTCATGTGGGAGGCTGTGTGTGAGATACTTAGTTTCTAATGATGAGTAAGCATATAGTCACAGGTGAAAAGTTTTAGGTTAAAGCTTTACCAGTATGCTCCAGCTCAAATGTTTTGTGTTCACAATGTAAAGCAAAACTCATATTTAGAAGTCTGCCATAACTGATGAGAGCTTTGCAGTGCGTTTCTCAGTCACCCGTCTCCCAAGCACTCATACAGAACCTGTTTTATTACTCACCAACAAACAAAAACAAACAAAACACCCAGAAGTAACGATTCCATTTAGATAGAATTTGGTACATATGCAGATCAGTAATGGTGGCTTAAATGATGCAATTCGCAAGGTACCATGATAAGTGTCATCGTGCCTGGTGCAAAAGTGTTATCAGGTAGTTGCTGGAGCATCTGACTGTCAGTAATAGTCATAACAGTGTCGTCAGACATGGAGGATACCTTGTACATGGATTAGATAGCATTAACAGGGCTTGATGCGAGTTTGACAAAGGTCAAAATGTGGGTTTGAAAGGAACTACTGTTGTGTGCCAAGAACTACAGAACCAAAGACAACTCTGCCTCCTATTTGGATACAGGTATTGGACTATTTTGCCGCTTTGCCACTGGTAAGTGTGGTTCAACTCGGCTCTCTCCTTCTCGGTTTGTCTCAAGTGTAGGTGATTTGCCACTACAGTGGAAGCTAAACTGTTTCTTCGTTCTGTGGTTAAGATGGTAACTGGTCTTTGTGTGTTTGAGTCACTTTGCCCATTGTTGTCCTTAATCGCCCTATAATTGGACTTGAATGCCGTTAGCTTATCCCGGCACTGCTTGTAAGTCCGAGTGTAGCCATGCTGTGCCATAATCTCCAATACCTCTTGGTAAATGAGCTCATTTCTCGTGGTGCTGTCTGTCAACACGATGAGGAAGTGGAGGTTCAGATGTAGTTTTGCTGGATGGGTCATTCAGTGATGTAGTTCCGCTGGCAAAGGGTTGCTGTCTGCTTACATCAAAATTAGCCCCTCGGAGCAGCCCGCTTGGAACCTCAAACAAGGTGGTCCCAAAAACAGAGCTGAGTGGGGTGGATATCGACAGTGGAGAGGCCCTTAACTGGTGCCATGTCGTGCTGAGCCGATGAAAGTTGAAACCGTGACAAAGCATAATTTCTAAAACCCTACGCCAACCTACATCAGGCCAGAATCTCTGTCTCAGGGGGTTAGCACTAGAGCAGAGAGGATTACATCCAGGGTGGTGCCAAAACTTGGAAACATGGACTAACGATGGGTGGTGATATTTTATGCTCAGAAAAAAATGTTGGTTCTTCATTATGAAGGATGGCCCTCATATGTGCATATGGCAGCAAACAGGAGAGAGGACCAACACTACCAATGCTGTAAAAAGACACAGCGGTGTTACTCCTGGCATCATGATGTGGGGAACTGTAGGGAATGACTTCAGGTCACCTCTGACAGTGAATGAGAAGACCTTAATGGCAAAGTACTACTTCAGTGACACACTGTGAGTCTTTTTTTTTCTCCCCGAGACACCACCTTGATACAGTCTTTCATCAAGATATCTGTCCACATGCAATACTGGGGTCTATGGACTGCTTGAGACATGTTTTGGTCCTCTTGTGGACAGCTAGTTTCACTGATCTTTTACCCAGGCAAACATATGTGGTATCCATTTGGATGTCAAATCTGATTTATCGCCAGTTTGACAAATCTCAAGGGCCAGTTCCAAAAACTGAGGACCAACTTGCTGCGAGACAAGACACAATAGCTGCACGACTGTTCCACAATGAATCACTGAATTGAATGAAGGGGTTGCCACACCCTACTGACATGGAACTAGCAGTGTGTTGTCCATTTCAATTTACAAGACAGTGGTGAGACCAGCTATGTTGTATGGTCTGGAGACGATGGCATTGACAAAGAGACAAGAGAAAGAACTGGAAGTGGCAGAAATTAAGATGTTGAGGTTCTCCTTAGGAGTAACAAGGATGGATAAGATTAGGAATGCGATCATCAGAGGTACAGCACAGTTGCTCAACTGGGATATAAAGTTAGAGAGACCAGACTGAGATGGTTTGGACATGTCCAGAGGAGGGACAGTGGGTATATTGGTAGAAGGATGTTAGAAATGCAGCTGCCAGGAAAAAGACAAAGAGGAGATATATGGATGCAGTTAGAGAGGACATGGAGGAAATTGGAGCGAGGACAGAGTGAGATGGAGGAGGATGACTCGCTGTGGAGACCCCTAAAGAGAGAAAAGCCGAAAGAAGTAGTGTGTTGTCCATTTGATCTGATATTTCAATCATTGTTATGTATTCACATGACCTTTAACTTTGGGAACTTTGAATATATTCCATACTTTCTCTGTACATGAGGACATCAGAGGTAGTGAAGTTAATTGTTTTAATTGCAAAGCCAATCTTTTCCTTCATATTTTCCTTTCAACAGTTTAACAAAACAAAGGAACAAACAGTCTTACAGCTGTAAAGCTTCCCTCCGAACAGCGATCGCATGACCATTGTTCGCTGATGTCATCTGCAGCAACACCGTAGCAACCTAGAGGAGGGAGGGATGAGAATCAGCAGCAGAAAAAGTCCCTTTCACTCGCATCCCGCTCAGCTGTCACAGTCAGAGCTATCTGCGTGTCGTCGGTACAGCAAAAGAAAACAACAGACCCAACAGGAAAGTCTACTGTTACACAGTAATGAACAAAATGCCACATCCACATTGTTTCCACAGATTCTCGATGGCATTGAAGTGGTGAGTTTCCATGTAGACATACAGAGAATTGCAGACTGAGTGGAAATTGAAATCTCAGTGGTTTGTGTCGCTCTGTGTGTGTGTGTCTGTGTGTCTGTATGTGTGTGTGTGTGTGAGTGTGTGTGTCTGTGTGTGTGTGTGAGGGGGGGGTATATCTGGGTGGTCAAGATTTTAAAAAGACAAACATTACATGAGACTTTCTCTAAATGTGTTTGTCTTAGTCTGAAACTTCTGTTTAGGTGTTTACTTTCTACTAAACTGTTTAGTTTTTAAAGGCGGCTCAAACAAAATGTGCTAAATCTGATAAGTTTAAGGCTGTTTTCTTGATGTGGCAGTCCTAGTTCAAGTGGTTCACAAAGGATAATTTTACTTTTACAGCTCTAATCAGAAAAAAAAAATAGAATTTGATATCCCTAACAAATGTGAATCTTTTTAAAGTTTGCAGCTGGTACGAATCCAAGCAATAAAAGCCCTGGACCTGTAAGTAAGTGGGAAACTTCTGTTTGTACAAAGCTCCTAAAGTCCACATGTGCGTGTATGTCCATGTTCTTTTCCTCGACGATCCATCACAAAACCAACAGTAAAAATCGAAGCCCACCTCTGTTTCCTTTCCAGAGTTCAAATTACAGGGCAGAGAGAGAGATCTACATCAACTTGGGATCATTCTTGTGTCTGAAAACCCAAACTTGTGGCTTTTTCCACCAGTTTCAAATGACATAAGCTTCATCTCTTACTCCCACACGCATACACATATCTAAGTAATTACAAATGCAGTGCAGCTGTTTGTGCACACACCCTGGACCGAGTAAAATACTGTGTAGACCAAATCAACTCTTGTGATTGACTCAGATTTAAAAAGATGCAATGTCTTTTTAAAGCTGTGGATGACTGAGTATGACTTGTACATGGACGATTTGTAAAGAAACCCAGCACTGTAAATCACCAACGATTGTTAAAGTTGTACAGTATCTGTAGATTGTCAAACAGAAAGGTATACATATTTGTGGGTTTGCCTCTGGCTCGGAGCTTTTGAACAGGAACTGCGTGTGGTGAAAACAGAGGATTCACCCTCGTTCGTCTGACGGAGGAAATAAAATACTTAAAACCGCAGGGAGAAAAACGTCGGGGGCAGAAAAGATGTGGAACATTAAGATGGAGTGAGTCAGGATATAAACCCACTGACCCTCTAACCAAGACATCAGCGAAACGAGGACTACATGTGGAAACAAACGGTGTTGGTTGGTCGAGCATGTTAAGTTCAGCGACTGTAAACAGTAGTTTGTGCCACGGAGCTTACAGTATCGCCCGCTCACTGTTCGTCACACTTGCACTGTATACATACTTGCATGGACTTGCAGGCAGCAGCTCCGGCAGTAGAGCAGAGGGGAGGTGCCATCTTCCTGCAGCAGGGGGTTAGTCGGAGTCGGCGGACAGTTCTGCTCTCGGAAAGAGAAGCAGATCTCTGGGATAAGGGGCTTAGTCCTCCTCAAGCCTCCACAGAGGGGCGTTGACCCGTCCATTGGAGACCAAGGTTTGGTGTCCTTCACTGTGACACATTTACTGTCCTCAGTCCTGTCATCAGCCTGAAGGAAGAAAAGACCGACTAAGTTTTATGTTTCAGCTGAGACAGAGACAGGGATACTGGCAGGTTAGGTGGGAGACTAAGTGTTTGCTCTGCTGAAATAAGAGTTGTCATTTTAGGTGGCATTCAGTTAGCTGAAATTACAGGGGCTGTGATGAGTGACCTGTGGGTTTAGTATTCCTACTATTATTTAACTAATTATTCAGCAGCAGCTTCAGTGCTAACCCACAATGCTACTGGCTCTTAATCTTGGTGTTGCACTAATAACAGAGTTGTGCTGAAGTCTTATTTACCTGATAGTAAGGCATGAAGAGCGTGCACACGGCACAGTACGGCTGCATGGTGGATGCATGGGCATTGTACTCCCGTTCTGTTTTGAAGCAGCTCTTTCTGTTCTGCCAAAGGGAGACGAGGGGCTTCGCCCACGCTTCAACTTCCTGTTCCTCCCCTTCCTCTTCCCCAAGGCTCGCTTCAGGAGGCTCTAATAAAAGACGACAAAAACTCAAGTTTTTTAGATTTATGAGATTGCCAACCAAAACACTACATCAAAGCATGAATGGCTGGTTCAGAAAACACGGCACAAGCTTCAAGATCTGCCTGTTGGTTTCAAATTAGCTGTGAGGACTTTTTTTGGTCATGATCTGCAGCATCAAGGGAGATGAGAAGTGCATGTATGACAAGAAGTTTAGTCACATAATGTGTGCTACAAAATGTTTTGAAAGCTATTTGTGCATTTATTTGATACTGTTGATGTCAAGCACCAACTCCAACACTCAGCAGGGAAGCTAGGTTTGAGTGTTTCACGTTTTATTTTGCATTTTCACATTGAGAGCCGTTACTCAGTTCCAGACGTTTTACTTTGTATTAAATTAACCAAAACAAAGTCTCCCCGTGTTTTATTTATTTATTTTTAGTCCCTGGAGGGAGATACCACTTTAGGCACACAGGACAATATGAATTATTCAATTTGAAGGCAATACAATGTTACCATTTGAAAAAATAAAAATAAAAAAATAAAATATATATATATATATATATATAAATTAATCGTGAAGAACACAAATCCTGACTTGCTGTACACGACCTGCAAATTTGGACCCTACTCAGTATCAAGAGTGGTTTGTTTTCTATTTCTCATTTTTGGATAATTATTATGTGCTTTTAAAAACGCATTTAGCACTTGTTCTGGTTGTAACAAACCCATACCAAACTGTGACAGAAATACCATCACTTCTATTTCTTACTGTGCACCCAGAAAATAAGGTCTGATAAACAAAATAGTCATCATTAATGTATTTAAACGCTTTAAATTTCTCATACCACACAAATGTGTCATTATTAGTTCCAAAATCTTTTTGATCAAAAACACAATATTAAAAGGTTTAATTTTACTCTTCTGTCATAAGACGGCTGATTATTACTTTGACTTTTTAAACTATATCTAGTTAAAATAAACCTTTATTTCTTTTGCGATGTCCAAAGTAATAAGTCCCGTAATATCCAGTGTCTATCTCTCCCAGATTATTTGTTAATTTCTGATTTTGCAACAACAAAAAATTAGTAAAATAAAAACAATCCACTCACAATTGATTTTCCAATCTTTCCACTCGCAGACTTGAGGCTTAGTCAAGTCTAATCCTATGACTTTAGTGAATTTAATAACAAAAGTTTAAATAACTTCAGCACAACAGACTGCTGCCTGTTGATTAATTTAGAGAACTATTTTACTGTTAGTTTTTTTTTATTTTTATACATCATAGATGTACAGTACCTGCTGGTAAAACTGCAACCCTTGTCTGATCTTGTTGAAGAAAATGTATTCATGGATTAATACAGTAAAAAAAAAAGTTTAAGCTTTAAACATGTATAATTGCTTATGTTTCTTATTAGACTCCTTCCATAATCATCATTTTAGTGATAGTTTATAGAAAGTCACAACCAAGTGTTGCCCTTTGTGGAAGATCAACTCTCTGCCGGCCGCACTTCAACACCAGTCTTATTCGTCTGGCTCAGAGTTTGACTTATTTTGATTAAAGTAAGTTGGTAACCTGAAACCTTCGATTCTACAGTTGTGATTTCACAACGTTTCTGATCGGGGCTTAATTTGTAAACCGGTCGATCAAATAGAGGGCGGACCAGTAGGGTGGGGGACCCTTTCCCAGAAAATTTTGAATAAAGTAGATGTGATTTCCTGCATTTTGGTGTATTTTAACAGGTTGTTAAACATCCTCCGTTTACCTACATTTGTAAACACTCTGCTTCTGTCAAGCAACCTAGCCCCTTACTTGACGTTTCTGAGCCCGATGCCGTCCCTGCTCGTTGTTGTCCGACTCCACATGTGAACCTCCAGGCACCTGCCTGCGAGCTCCTGCCTGCGTACGACTGCCTGGTTAGCTCGGCACTCACCCCCACCACTTTTTTAGGGGCGGTGATTTTTTTAAGGGTAGAAGCGGAAATGCTACTTGAAGAAGCAGCTCATATGTGATATTGAGAAACTTGTGACTGTTGTGTTTAAAATGAGTGTTTATGTAATTATTTTCAGGGTACATATCCAATACAAGTTTTATTCATCCAAGGCAGTCATATTTGTTCATAACTTTATTATTAGTAAGCCTGAGCGTTACCGGATCCAGGCAAACAGTTACCGGAACACACCCTATCAAAATAAGAGTTTACAGATCCTGTTCTGTCAGGATCCGGCTCAAATTAAGCCCTGCTTCTGATCCTGGCTTTAAAAATCTATTCAAGTTTACTAAACTCAAAATGCTGTTTTTAGCTCTTGAGCAGGATGAAGTCACCTGCACACAGTTTGCAAATCCAACAGCACCAATTAATACAACAGAGCGCACAAATGAAAACCTGACAGACTGGATTTCCATTAAGATCTGTCATTTATTCAGCTGGCAGTAGTCGGGTTCTGTGCTTATAAGGTGCCTGTTTTTGTACTAAAGTCCTCAAAATAATCACATTTTCTCATTTTAAAATAGGCTCCCTGGTTGTCTTTTCTCACTCAGAGGTAAACAACAGTTCACAGCCATGAAGATGATAAATGTGACTGTGGGCTGGACCTCTTTAGCATTAGTAGACGCTAAAGAGGTCCATCTCTTTAAGGATATTAAAACCATAAAAAAAAATAGCTCGTTTATCACTAAGGCATTAAACTGTGGTAGGCCAGAGAATTAAATGTTTATGTTTATGTGTGTACTGACGTCAGAATATCACATTGCTGTTGATGGTGAGGTTTCATATAATTTGAAAAATAAGGAGGGGAGAAAAGAAACCTCAGAGTAGAATGATTTACTCTGGGAAAGCACAAATTTTAATTATATTATTGTACTACAATACTGAATATGTTAGCCAAGTTTTACGTATTATGGCAATGAAAGATGTCCTTTTTGGCTCGATGTGCTCCCTTTGACATAAAAACTGTTATTTTCAGCTCGCAAATTCAAACAATCCAAAAAAATAAAAACTTTATGGCAGCTATATTTTGGATCAGTGCAATTTAACCCAAAGAACTCCAAAGGATTATGGTTTCTGGCATAGTGCCACCCACCATGCAACGGAGACCACAACAGAACATGTCCCAGGGGTCTCTGAAGAAACGAGCAACAATGTGTGCATGAATCAACGTCTGAGTTTGCCGATGAAGCCAAACCATAACAATAAGTTGAAATGAGCCGTGTGTGTTTGGGTGTGTTTGTGAGAATGAGCCCACCCTCGTCACTGGCAACCTGTTGTTTGACAGCAGTGGGCACAGCTCTTGCGGTGGGCTTCCTGAGCGGGTGACGCCAGCTCTTAGTGGTCCTCTTGGCAGACAGAGTAGGATACTGGCACAGACAGGGAAAGTTGAAACAGGTCAAACTGGGCAGTACTGGTGTGAAGATCTGAAATCTGAACGACATAACTGTGTGTAAAGAACACTCACGGCACAAACCTCCCCAGGTTCAAGACTGGACTCTTCACACTCGTCGTCAGTCGTGTCATTTTCCTCCTCTTCCTCCTCTTCCTCCTCTTCAGATGAGTCACTACTGCTTTGTCCCTTTGCATCTCTTTGTTGTTCCATATGTTCATAATCGGATTCCTCTTCCTCCATGTCCGACTCCTCATCATGTTCGCTCCCTCCTGTCCTAATGGGGGACAATGCTTCTCTTTGTCTGCCCAGTTCCCTGCTAAGTGACAGCGATTCAGCCTCGTCCACTTCACCTGTTTGCAAATCATAATCGTCACCAAGTTCCAGAGGTTCAATAGCACCGACTGTAAGGAGAGAGGTGGGCTCCAGTTGGGCCCAGGTGGGAGCTCCACCTGCATCTTCCTGGTTCTCTGACCTACGAAGGTCTTTTGCTGGATCGTCCAGGTCTGTGACCTGTTTGCACTGAGGTTCGGTCCACATGGTGTAGGGCAGAGGATCATGGGAGAAATCAGAAGGAAGCTCTGGATGTAGACTCTGGATGACAACCGCGGGACCCTGGGAACTGAAGTTCTTCCAGACGCTACTGGAGAAGGGTTTGGGTTCTGTGTATGGATTCTGGAAAGCGTAATGGCAAGACGAGTGTGTAGTGTGATGGCTGAGCTGTAACGCTGCGGGACTGTTGTTTTGGGGACATAATGTGGGGTCAGGAGTTGGAGGACTGCAGTTTGTTTGACCAGATAACACTCTTGGAGTTGCATCTTTGGAGTTATCTGTGTTTGGATTTGATGGTTTGGGTTGTGGCTCGCTTTGAGGTGCAGTTCTATGATCTAGCTGGCTGGGGGCGGTGTCATTCAGCCCACAAGTGAAATTCCCCAGTTTTGTTTGATCCTTTTCAGAAGCAACTACAGATGATATTAGCATTTCATGAACATCCCCAGGCATTATGTTGTGCAAGCCACTGTCTGCTAACTGAGCCATGTTTCCTGCTGAACCAGACACCGCTGCTTCTTCACCATTAACTGCAGGATGCCAGTGGTTGGTGTGTAATACTGCACTGGGCTCTGCTGACAACTGTACAGCCACCTCTTCCTCTTTGGCTTCGTTTAAGGACGGAGATCCAGTTGGTGTTTCTCTCTGAAGCACGGGTGCAATCTGGTGACTGCATGATGCAGACTTTGGAAGATCAGTGAGCTCGTCATCAGCAGGCGTGAGGGACGGCATCTCTTGGGTTAAAACTGGCGGTAAAGGACAAATCCCAATCCTGTCAGTCGGCTCTGGTGTGAGTTGGGGCATATCCCCTGTATTCCTTTGCAAAAGAGGAGGTAAAATACTTTCTTCCTTTCTGCCAGTTCCTGCACTCTGCTGTGAGGAGGAGGCACTTGATGTGGCGCCATCTCCCTCTGCTGGTTCACTCTTGAGATCATAAAGTGCTTCAGCGGTGGAGTGTGAATTCATATGTATCGGATCAACTATGTCCATTTCCTCTGTTTTAACAGTATCGTTGGTGTAGTTTCTGGTACCTGTGTGTTTACTGCTGTCAGTGTCCACAGCTGGGCTGTGAGATGAGGAGCTTGACACGTGAATCTCAGATTCAAGAGGACACAAGTCTGTTTTGGTCTCAGGAAAAGTGTCTGTGTGGGAGGATGAATTGAGGACTTGCGACACCGAAGAGCAACACCTCGACTCATTTATTCCCGGGTGTCTCTGAGAAGCCTCAGGACTTAACCCGAGTCCTTCAGGAGTCCTCTCTGAGACCCCGGACCTTGAGAGGTCCTGAGAGTCAGTGACAGTTGCCTGTAGCTCAGTCTTCCCTGGAGAAGCAGGGGAGCTGGAGTTACAGGAAGCATCGCTCTTAGAAACCCCCAAACCGTTTCTCTCGACACGATTTACCTTGACCACACACATCTGTCTGCAAGGACCTGTCGAGGATACAAAGACAGACAGAACACCACTGTAAGGTTTTTAAACACATTTTAGATTAAATTATTTGAACAATAAATAATAAAAACCCTAAAAAGAAACTGAAAAAAATTGACAGTTTTTTTTCTCCTACCTGAGAACTGCAAAATGTTCGAATTCTGGTTGTGCTTGGACTCAGTTTCCTTTTTCTTTCCTTTTTCTACTTCTTTGCAAGTTTTTCCGACTGCAGACCTCCGCACCTTGGACCCCGAATGAGCGCAGATGCTTTTCCTCTTGCTGCTGTTCAGTTCTAAGCTGCCATCCAGGCCGACCGGCTCCTCTGTGGTTCTGAGGCGCTTGGAGCGCATTCGAGAATGACTGCTGCTGTCAGAGAGGAGAGATTAAAAAACTCTAACACTCTTAACAGCCTGAGCATTGTGATTTAGTAAAACAGCTGCATTTCTCCACCCCACACACTTATTTGGGCTCCACTCCTCCACCTATTGTGATTCCAATACCGCTTTAGAAACATGAAAACAAACGTCCAAGTTTGAATACTGAACCTTTTATTAGTCGCCTTGGCTTTACGGCGCCTGTGCAGCCAGCTCTGCAGCTCTGGTGTCGTACTGGGAGTGGGCACAGTGTGGTCAATAAGAGTTGAATCTTTGCCCAGCATCCAGTTGGCGTAGCGGTCAGGTTGAAAACGCTTCACAAAAGGCTCCATGGAAATCTTCACCATGTCCTTGCTACAAGTGCACTAAAGGTAAGAGGAGGAAGATACAAAACCATTTTAAAGTGGGGGTCAAAACATGACTCTCACTTGTTTAAAGAAAACAGTTTTGATTGGATGCATTAAAAATGAGCAAGTTGTCTTGACACTTGTTGAGCACCATCTATTGTAAATGTATCATATTACAATCCATGATATGCATGTGTTGTAAAAAACATACACTGGTGCAAAACGTTTGGTCGAGTGAGATACTACCTGTGTGGCCACTTTGCCATAGTCTATCCAACGAACTGTGGCGAAGTTGGTGGACTCTGCGCAGTTAAACCCGTGATTGAATCCAGCGTGGTAACCATACGGGAAGGTGATCATGAACTCGCCAGCTTCTTGAGTAATCTGACAATTTATCACAAGGAGGTGCACAAAAAGTGGTTCGTAAGAACAAAGGAGTGACAGAGAAAACATGTCAGTTTCAGCTTCAGTGTTGTCACAATGTTTGACGATAAAGAATGAGCTGAAAGACGAGGAGTGGACAGTGTACCTTGTCAAAGGGAATGCCATACTTTTTCAGTATGGAAGGGGAGATTAGAGTCATCTTGTGACGAAGAAAAGCCTCACAACCCTTGAAGCTGTTGGGGAAAAAGCCTGACAGAGAGAAACACACAGACACTTCATTAAAAACACTTAACAGTCCTAAAAACTGTTAAATGTAACACATGACTGGAAGTCCTTCATTAATGGCAGGAAGTGAGGATAATGGTGGGCAGAATTAACATTTTCAAGGACCATAAAAACTGACATTAGAGGCTAGTATGAAATTATGAAAAGAAAATCCATCATCATTATTATTAACACTCTTTTTGACCTTGTAGAGTAATAAGTCAGTTCAAACGTGATGTTACAAAAAAAAAAAGAGAGATTATAAACTGAAATTAAAAACATAAATTAATCTGTACAGTTCTTAACTACACATAGACACCTACACATCAGAGCTTTAAGAGTTGTGTTCTTTATGAAATTGTGAATCAGTATTACGGTTAGTGTCTCACCTGTTGTAGATAGCTATTAGAACAATGTTAATTGGAAGAAACAGCCTTTATTTCTGAACGGACTGCTAAAGGCTAATACAAGCAAAGCCAAGACCAAAGTGGACTCCTGCCATTTTAAAACTTTCCAAGCTGTAAAGAGTTGTGCTGGTTCTACAAACATTAATTTATACACATTTACATCCCTGTCAATTTCACATTACACAACTACGTAATATGGTTAGCTTCTGAAGCTATTTAAGTTTGTAAATAACCATAAAAATCTACGCAAGTAATAGTGTAACATAAGCAGTACACCAATGACCAATGTTGAGAGATATGAATAGTGAATGTTTGCAGTTTTCAGGATGAGCAGGGAATGCAGGTGAATCTTAATGTTTTTGATGGAAGATATTCACGTAGGTGGGAGTTGCACTGTGTTTAAGAGCAGAGGTAGGATCGTTTTACTGCTTGTCCGAGGCAGCGCAGAGTGACCGGTCCTGGCGAGTGGCGGCAACAGTTTTATCCACCACCAGGCACAATGGTGGAGCCGGGGCAGGTGGGGGGTAGCCAATTAATCTATGGTTGTAGATGGTAGATTAATCTTCAGCCACCTAATGAAACTATACTTTGGAGAAATATAAAAACTACAAAGCACAGATTCCTCAAATGATAGGAGTGGTCGGTTTACCATATTTTTTGCTGCATAAGTCACATTTTTTGGGCATAATTTGCATGCGCTGCCACTTATACGCCGAAGCGACGTATTTATGGATTTATTTTTCCCCCATATTTATAAACCAATTTTTGGCTGAGATATGATCGTTTTCATTCATTCTGACTGAAAATTTTGAACACTGCCATTTTTCAGCTACTAGATGGCACCAGAGTAGTATTCATGCCGTTGTATCATGCAATAAGTAAAAGTGGCTATTAATGACACAATCGGCTTGCCATACAGTTGCATTCAGGCCCAAAAAATCTGATCCGACCCGGCCCCAGCACGCAGTCATAATTTCCGAACCCCATCCGACCCGATGAAATAACAGTAATTACAGGTCCGAACAAGGAAAAAAACAACATTTTTAATTAGTTATTAACGGTCGGGGACAAGCAGTTGAATTAAAGCAGCAGAAGATTCAGAGCTGATGGGGTGTTTGTCATTTCATGGCCATAAAAAAAGCATTTAAACCCTGTTTCTGCCTGCTTTCTTCTGAAATACTGAGACACGTGGACAGCCCTGACACGTCCGCTTTGGGATCTCACCGGTTTGGGTCGTTGGCCGCGCGCGTCCGCAGCTGCAGAATGAACGTCCATTTGGGCGATGGATCGCTGCCTGGCAGTACAGTCCCATCTGAAGCTTAACTGAACTTTTTAACTCTTTCAAGGCCAGTCAGCTTGTGGTGAAATGGCCACGTGCAGGTGGTGGATGTATGGCAGACCGTGTTATCATATAACTGGATAGCGATTGATGCCGACCTAATTAAAAGCACGAGATCGGCCCGCCCCGCCCATTAATCACATTATCACGGCCCAGCCCTTATCCGGGCCGGTCCCGGGCCAGGTTTCGGGTTCGGGTTAGAAATGACAGCTCTAGCTTGCCATAGTAGCCACCTTCGTCCAGCTCGCTTGGAGCAACCGTCAAATCAGCTTCATTTCGCTGCACCGCACCAGAGAAATGCAGCTAATTTGACCAAAGAAGTGCATTTATTAAGTAAAAGTTCAACTGAGACACAGCTTTGCTATAATTTGGGAGCACAAAAATAATTGTTTTTAGGTGGTTATTTTAAAATTTTTGTTAAAGTCCTCCCGTGCACGCTCCTGTGGCTGCCATTTGGCAGCCAATCAATTTTTGGCACAACACCGGCCCACATTTCTGCGTTGTCAGCGGTGACATGGAACAAACGCGACGCGTCAGCGGTGACGTATAATAGATGCGACATTTACGGCGAAGCGACATATTTATGGATTTTCCACTTTATTACACATTTTTGGACTGATGCGACATATAGGGCGGTGCGACATGTACGGCGGAAAATATGGTATATATGTTTATGGTGGTGGCCATCTTGGATTTTGATGTGGCAATTTAAATATTTAGGAATCTTTCTTACGTCTAGATGCAGCCACACACCAAAGGTCCATGTACAACAGGTGGAATAGTAATGCTTCATCTTTCTGAAGAACCCCACTTTAATGTAATCTGAGCTATCACTTTAACACACCAACGATAAAACACAAAGATCCAAGAACTTTAGTCAAACAATGTTCATTTAGCTAGTTTTTTAATTAGTTTACGTGTTTTCATACACGTGACTGAATGTCTTAACCCAAGCTCTAATCTCTGCAATTAACACAAAATGGAGGTCTTTAAAAAAATGTTTAATCTTTATTTGGATAGTTTTGATCATGTTTGTGTCCAGAAGTGTCCACCTCAAAATGTCCTTTCATTGCTTTTCTGCAGACAGCATGCCTCTATAATATCAGTCACCCTGCTGGTTCAAACAGACAATAAAAAAAAGTTTGAGATTCTTTACCTGTAGCCAAACGCTCCAGTCTCTTCCCGTGCTCGGGGGGGATGGCATACCTGTGAGAGACGCAGAGTTATTTCTCTGTGTGTAAAATTCCCTCAGCAACACGTTACAAAATTCAAGACTGCCATCAAGTGGTGAATAAACGTGTTTGAGAGAGGACAAATCATCTTTCAACACCACTGTAAATATTACTGAATCAGTTTCCTGTCTGATCTGATCACACTGTTCTCTGGCGGCCATGTTTTGAGGCAGACGGTGGCTCATTAAAACAATACTTTTTGAAAACGTTACTGTCAAATATCTAAAGTCTTAAAAAACGACACAACGATCCAACGCTGATTGCTCCTGAGTTCAGCTGAAATTCTGCGTCTTCCTGTGCAACACTGCTGACGCCATTCAAATTTAAAACCATCCCTCAAGTTCCCAGTCAGGAACTGGGGGAGCGTGACAGAAATCCCTCGAGGTTTGACTCTGCACTCCACTCGACGAGCTCCATCCGCCCTCAGGTCTGCAGCGTTCCTATCATATCACCTGTCAGCTTAACACACCACTGAGAGACTCGGTGGGGGGGGCACCACCTCGGTCAGTGGTGAAGCAGGGAATTGGAGTGTTTGGGGAGGCTGAAGAAGACTGGCATCTTTAAGCTGCCCCCCCCGAGATGAGATGTTGAAAAGCAGCAGGATGAAAGAGTTCGTTAGTGTGTGTGTGTGTTGGGAAATAAAGGTGTGTGTGTGTGTGTGTGTGTGTGTGTTGGGAAATAAAGGTGTGTGTGTGGGCACTTGGCACACAAGGCTGCTTTCTGTGAACGTATGTCGTTGTCTGGCTGTGACACTGATCCCTGTGGGGCTGGCAGGGCACGCCGCTCTAATGAGCAAAACTACCTCCAGGGCAGGAGGAGAGGGAGAGGGGGCGAGCCACGCCGACAAATAAAGGTGAGCTCCGTTTTGATCAGCCTTCATTTTCCACCTCTGCCGTTACCTCCAGCTAACACCACGCACATCTGTGACGGACTTTATTATTACAGCCATGAGAAAAACAAAGTCCACCTTTATTTGGTTCTAGTGCAGGGCTATTCAACTAAACTGCTCAGGGGGCCACAGGTCCTGAAAGCCAACAGCTCGGGGGCCGGACATCCAGTAAGTAAAGTCATTATGTAAATAAACCAAGTTTTACAATAATCTGTTACCTTTTAAATTTGATTTTTATTGCATTGAATCATAAATGCAATAAACAGACACCCCCCCCCCTTTTTTTTTTTTTTTTTTTTTTAATGAAGTGAGCCAGGTTAAAGTCACCCGCAGGCCACCAGTTGAATAGCCCTGTTCTAGCGTTTTATGTACTGGGACAGAATGAAAAATGATCTGGTCTTCACCGGGTTCTGAAACTGTTCAAGTCTAACGACACACGTACAGAAAAACATCTCATCATGTAAACAAAAATAAACTAACACTAAACGTTTAAACGAAGTCCACCTCAGGATTCAAGAGTGTGCAGAGCCACGTTTACAGACGATAACTTGAAGTAGTCATTGTATTTACCAGTGGTTGTGAAGGAATGTCGGCCCACTCTACTTTACAGCATTGCTTCAGTTCATGAGGGTTTTTGCAGGAAAATGCTTGTGCACAACTCCTTTAGGTCCCATTTCAGTCAGGTTATGGTCCTGATGCTGAATGGACCTGTGCAACACCTTATTGACCGTTTTACACATTATGGTGTAGGTTTACTTGCCCTGTGCGAGTTTACAGTTCAGGATCTGTTATTATGCACATCACCCAACAAACCTCAAGCTCAGCTGCCCATATTATCTAATCCACCATTTCTTAGCAGGTACAAATAATCCTTTATTTTGTGAGAGTCATCGCTGTGGTAATTTTGCTGTTATAGGCTTTAAAATATAAATAATCAGTACATGGTTACAGCATGCTGAATAAAGACTTGTGTAAGATGCACACGTGCGCAAATTACTGTAATTTCTGGACTATTGAGTGCACCCAAATATAAGCCACGCCCACTAAATTTAAACAATAATATAAATTTTGTACGTATATAGGCTGCACTTGTGTATTAGCCGCAGCATTGTATAAGCCGCGGGGTTCAAAGCCTGTGAAAAAAGTAGTGGCTTATAGTCTGGAATTACGGTAGATCCACACAGGAACAGTCATAAATGTACTGGTGCTGTTAATGTAAAACAGACAGCTGACTGCTGTGTATTCAGTTTGACATTTATATTTACTCTGTAAAAGAGACTTAAGATGTGCATGCAGTGTCCTGAAACATTTACTGACCTGAGGAACTTCACTGAAGATGAAGGTTAATTTTGCACTCTGGTAACTGCACAGCTGTGCTTTCTTCTGTTTCTTAAATTACAGTTTAAAATAAACCCCCGTGTTGTAAAAAAGCTGAACATTATCATTTACATCTACAAAGTCAAATATCCCTCAGATATACAACTTCCAGTAAGTAATGAGCTGTAATTAATAGTGACGAGTTGCAGGAGTAAAAAGGTATCCATGGCAACAAGTACTTCCAGCATACGACAGAGGCTGCAGCACTGGGAATAAATGACTAATTATCCAACTCTGTCTAACAAATCCTTTTGGTTTGTTTATATCCACACATCGTGATGCGTTCACCCTCTACTGATAAACACTGTCCCACACTCACCAGGACTTGGGCTCTCCAAAGTGAAGGTAGTTGATGCTGTACAGGTCCATGTCCTCGGTGTGCCAGGAGAAGGTGGTCTTCCACATCCCAAAGTAGAGGTACGGAGTGTTGACCCCCTGAATGGAAACGCCACAGTCCTCCTCGATGACGTCCAGGATGGAGTTCAGGTGGCCGATGTTCCACTCCTCCACATCCTGGAAAATTACAAACAGAAGCTTGACCGTTGCAGCAAACTATGGTGTTAAATTAAAATAAATAAAAATGTGTGCACAAGCAAGCAGAGCCAAGAGGGGAAAAAAAGCCAAATTGCTGAGCCTCAGGAAAATTGTTTCTTTACAACAATAGTGATAAAAACTCACACAGAAAATGTCATTTACACTCGATACTATGGCGTCCGACATCGTGGCACTGTTCTAATCTCAACCATCACCGCCCCTGAATACATATGTTTGTATGGGTCCCCTTCTCACGTAGACATTAGGAGCTTCCCGTAGAATCTCCTAATCTCCTAAAAGTTCTTCTCTCGTTTTGTTGTAACTTTGTTTTGTTTCATTTCATAAGTATAAGAAGAGTACTGTATACAGCACATTATACGCCTGTTGCCAAACTATAGTACAGCAATCTGTAGCAAAAGCCCAGATAAGATAAGATGTTATTCTCTACCACAATTGTGGCAGAAATTCTCCTTTGAGCTACATTCATCAAACACACAACAAGAACCAACAATAGAACTAAATAAAAACCACATTATCACCATTAGTTACCATTAAGATGCGTCTACTTGGCTTTGTTTAAGAACATTACTGCAGATGGTACAAATGGTTTCTTATAATTATTCTTCCTGGCCAGTGGGACTCGGTAACGCCCGTTTGATGGAAGCATCTGGAAGCAGTTGTGTTGTGGACGTGAGGGGTCCTCGGTGATCAGGGTGGACAAGCAAAGACCTTGTAGAATATTTGATTTTGATTTGTGACTTGAACTTGGAGCTGGGATGATAAAAAGTGCTTGCGACTCTACATCTATGTATAAGTCTGTGACGTTTTATTAAATTATCTTGAGTGGAGCAGAAGTTATCGACGAGACAAGAGAAGTTTACAGATGGACAGACGGAGGTGATTCCACGTCTGACTTTTGACCAGCGTTTTAAAAATGGGTGATTATTTTAGTTGAGAACTATCCATACACAATATATGACCAAATCAAGACAACAGATAAAAGTTTATAATGTATTTTTGCCGAAGAGATTCTTTCTTCTGGTGAGAAAGAAAAAGTTGGAGTAATATGTTAAAGCTGTGCTGCTGCAGAGCAATTCAGCTTGAAGCAGCTGCGAGTTTCAGTCGCAGCCTTCTGAAGATGATTCGAACATTTTGAGCTTAAAACCAGCTTGGCTTCCGGTACGATAATGTAAGTGTTTGAACTAGTATTTTAAGATGCTGGTGAAGATTCTCGGTCATCCAGGACATGATAAATTCAAAAACGTTCAATACAAAAACAAATGGACTTTATTTGTAACAGAAGACGTTTCGCTTCTCTTCCGATTTCAACCTTCAAAAACTTATAATGCAGCTTTAAGACTGATTCCCAGCCAGTTTCACACCTGATGGGAACAGAGGGGCCTCATCTGTGAATTAGAGGAACAAAGACCTTAAGAAACCCCTACTGTTAAGGTGTGAGGTGTGATTTGTCAATCTGCATATGTATGTGTATCTTATCTCAGCCTTATAACCTGAATCTCTCACTCTCTGCTCTTTGAATTGAGAAAGCTCCTCGGATGAGGAGCGAAACGTCTTCTGTTACAAATAAAGTCCAGTTGTTTTTGTATTGAACGCTTTTTGAATTTATTATTTTAAGAACCAACTAAAAATAACTGAACCTTGACAACAAATGCTGGCCACACAATGACTAACTTTGACACAAATAAACCGAGCAGTAGAACATTACCTCATCGTAGAGGCTCCCACTGACGTCTGCACCATAAATGGGCGAGACGAAAGTCAGATTCTTCCAGTATTTCCTCTCCAGATCTTCATAATTCAGGTAACGAGGTGTACAATACCTGTGAGAACAAAAACATTTATAACATTCAGTCGAGAAAAACAAACTCCTCCAACCCAAAACAGTCCATGCTCAATAATTCAGGTATACAATCCAACAATTTTCAGTCAGGTCATCTGGACAGTTTCTTCTTTTTTTGCTGAAACGTTTCATCTTCCATCCAGAAGGCTTCATCAGTCAAGGAAACACACAACACAAAACTGATTCTTCCCCAAACAGCTTACTTGAAAGTGGAACAAACAAGTTATGTTGGTGCTAAGATGGTGTCTTTGGCACGCCCCCTCCTCCGATGCCGGCCCTCTTCCTCGTCGACAGTCATGTCAAACTGGTTCAAAACCAAAAAAGTTCATGCTCAATAATCCAGATATACAATCAGTACAACATCCAGAAGAAGCCACCATTGTATACCTGGATTATTGAACATGGACTTTTTTGGTTTTGAACCAGTTTGACATGACTGTTGATGAGGAAGAGGGCCGGCATCGGAGGAGGGGGCGTGCCAAAGACACCATCTTAGCACCAACATAACTGGTTTATTCCACTTTGGAGTAAGCTGTTGGAGGAAGAATCAGTTTTGTGTTGTGTTTCCTTGACTGATGAAGCCTTCTGGATGGAAGGTGAAATGTTTTAGCACAAAAGAAACTGTCCAGATGACCTGACTGAAAAATGTTGGAAACTCCTCCAACATTTCACATCATGAATGCAAAAACATTTTGATGCTACTGCTCAGAATCTCTACAAATATTTGGAGAGTTTAGTCTAAATTAAATTAAGCCCATAATTGATCATTATATTATATAAAACAATCCCCAACTCTGGCAGCATAATGAAATGTTTTGTCAGACTGAAAGAACTTTTCCTCCACAATCAGATTCACTACACGACCAAAAACACAACATGGTACTCACATGTCGCTGTTGGCTAATCGCCTGAACTCCTGCACACTGAGCGGCTTCTTCTGGATGTTGTACTGAGTGAAGAGCCCTGACTGGCCGGCCATCATCTGCTGAATGGGAGCGTCGATCATCACATCGTCTATATCGTCGTAGGTGCGACGAGGCTTCCAGCCTTTAGGAGGGATGACCTGAGCAGCAGAGACAGCAGCGCTCTAATCTGCATCGTATTCATTGTATTCTTCAAGCAGATTATTTTGATAATTTAATCACACTTATCAGGAAAAAGTTGATTTTTTTTTTCCCACTTTCTTTGTTCTTTTTAGCTAAAACCACATCCATTCCACGTTCATGTCAGAGATTATTGCACAGATCCATCGCTGAAGCTAACGGTTCCTAAGTGGAGGCAGAAATCACGGTCTACCTTGGCCAAGCCAGCACGGTGTGCACCCTGGGACTCCATGTAGACCAGGTACTTGTTGAAGTCTTTAAACTCTTCCATGGTGGGCCTGAAGGTCATAATCTTGCAGGTGGGGTTTGCAGGGGTGTACACCTCTGCCCCCGCCATCCTGACACCTCAGCAGCTGTAACCTGGAGGGAAAAGGCAGAAACTTACACTTGTGCCCTGAAATCAACTGGTTTCTAATAGAAGTGGATTATGTTTCCATTACAGACTATGGTAATCCCACAGAGCAACGGTTTCTAAAGTTGGGGGTCAGGATCCCACTGAGGGTTGGGAAACACCAAGTGGGTGGTCTGGAAGAAAAAAAAACTAACAAAATCAAAATAACGTTTAAAATGATTGTAAAAAGTTAATTTTTTATCTTAAACCAGTACAAAGAGAGAAAAACTACAGTTATAAAAAAGGATAAAAAAAACTATTAGAATTGTTTTTGAGGCTTTTTTGTTAAATGAATTATAAACAATGTTTGAACGTTTTCAACCAGCAACAGTACCCAAAGATGTTTTCTGCCAATTAAAAGTTGAAAAGTCAAAGTTTAAACTGAATGAATATATAATATTTTAGCTTTCGCAAAAATGTTCATGCATCTATAGAATAAAAACATTATAAGTGTTTTTTGTTTGTTTGGCTACTCAGTTTCCAGCAGCTTCAGGTCCTGGCCTTCCTTTTAGAAAAGATCTGTGATCTTAATTAGATTTGCCTGGTTAAACAAAGGTCAATAAAATAATTTTAAAAAGTAATAATAAACTAGCGTTTATTTATTGTTTTATTGCTTCTGATTATGGCAGCAATTTCATTAGGAAATAAAACTAATTTATTTTAATTCTATGTGCAATTAGCGTTACGTTTCTGTCTAGATTAAACTAAATGAGTACATAAACGCATAATTTGGGTGTTGTTTAATGATATCTTATTTTATTTTACACCACTAATGATTTGATGTCATAAATATGATATAGTTACATATAACAGTCAATAAAGGGTTAAGAAACATTGTATTAATGACATCAAATCAAATTAATTATTGTCATTTTTCCTGTTTTATTGCAATTTCTGACAGATTCAGGTTCAAATTAATAACTTGTGTAAGGTAATTTAATTGTTAAAGTCTGTACAAAGTGTCCTTAACAATGATCAGTCCAGAACATGGACTGTAACACCACCACCTGCACTTTCATCCGTTAGCCCACTACTGTACAAACTGTACACATAATATACTTTCTACTGTTCATAAGTACTCACATACTTATATATATATTTTTTTTTTTTTTTTTATATAGCTGTTTATACCCCTTCATATTATAACCTGTTCATAGTCTGTACACTCACAACCTGTATATATTTATACCTATAGCATATTCAAAGCAACTTACTGTATATTGTACTATATATATCTACCGATTTATTTTTCTTGCTAAGCACTTCTGGATAGATGCAAACTGCATTTCGTTGCTTTGTACCTGTGACGTGTGCAATGACAATAAAGTTGAATTCTATTCTATTCTATCAACTTTCTCAGACTTATGTTTCATCATTTCACCGTCTAACTTCTGATACACTATTTGTTTATTTAATATTTTCTTACTTACACACAGTGAGTTACAGTGTTGTATTTAATATTGGTTTAAGAGTTACTGTGTTGTCTGAACATTGCTCCTTATTATCAGCGTAATTAAATTGTGGGACAGTCGATTCATCACACCACCACCAGATGGCGGTAGAGATGGACCAAATGTTGTTTTGATTCTTTAAAACCCGCTTGGTGCCCTCTTCAGGATTTTGTCCCATCCACCCATCCCACTCCCAACTCTTGAATTAATCGTGCCTGCACACAAAAGATCACATCATCCCATGTGAATTTAAACCCTCAAGTTACATGTTCCTCCCCTGCGATTCAAGCTCCTGTCCGATCAATGTTTGTGACGGACATGTGCACACAGAAAGTAAGAAAAAAGAAAGAACATGCAGTTTAGTCTTTGTCTGAGGGGTTACAGATACTGTTTGACTCGTAGATGATCTTTACGGGACGGTTTCAGCCTTCATGAAACCGAAGTGACTCGGGTCCAGCTCTAAATGAAACTAAACCTCCGCTGAGCAGCGCTTTGACTCGTAATCTGGGATTAGCTGCTGTAGCTCGGCTCAGCTTTGTCTGCCAGCGGGACCTAGCAGCTAGCTAGCCTACGTTCTGTTGTGATGCCGAGTAATGGCTGAACGCAGCGAAGAGGCTGCCCCCTCGGCTAGCTCACTGTCTAAACGTCGGGCTCGTTTGACTTGACTTCATTCGAGCTCCTGTGTTTCAGCTGGAAGCAGTCGGAAACTGAAAAGTATTAACAACTAATCGTAGCTACATGAGCCAACTTGTTACTGCACGAGCGAATGGAGTTTAAATGCCCCCCTCGAAAGGAGGCTGATCGCAGGCCCGTAGCTTGTCTCCGTGAGACTTCGTGCAGTTGAATCCATTTGGTCTCTTCTGATATTTTAATCACTTATCTTACACGTTTTGCAATGAACAAATGAGCACCGACAAGCCGACCTGCGCGAGGCTCGCACGTTAACAGCTTGCTAGTTTGCCTGCTTGGAAGCGGCTAATGTGGTTAGCGGCTGTAGCTTGGAGATTTGTGCAGCCCAGCAGTCACGGAAGCGCTGCCCTCTTCCCAACACGCCTCTACAAACCTACACACCATGCATTCGCTTCTCAACAGGACTTTTTCCACACTAGTTCGCAAAACAGTACCTTTATTTGGAAATACGGAATCGTGTTGTTGTTTATCTCCTTCCTCGTTCGCCCAGCTGATTCACATGACAGCTGCCACTGCTGCTTCGTGCCTCCTGCGAGAGAGGGCTGCGTCCTACACTATCTGCTCGGTGCATGCGATCATGGCGGCGGTGCAACACACCCATCCACATGCTTAGAGATCTGCGAATCAGCTGGCGAGTCGAGGAACTGTTACGCCTCCATAGATGTTAAAAGTTCACACTGTACATGCAGGGAAACATGTGGTTTGGACTTTTTAAGTAAACTCGGATGTGTTTTGTCTTGATGGATTATTTTAAATTGTCCAAATCTTACTGTATAACATATTCTATCTATCTATCTATCTATCTATCTATCTATCTATCTATCTATCT